GCGCCTGATTCTCTGATCATGGCTGGGGGGCAGGGCAAAGGCGGCTCTTAGCTCCCCGCTGGGTTTCCGATCACTGTCAGTGGCAGGGGGCTTCTTCCTGCTTTCCCTTTAGCCTCCCTGCATTGTGCCTACATATGCAAATTAACCGCCATCCTTATTGTCAGTTAACTGCCATCTGAGTTGGCAGTTAATTTGCATATAGCCCTGATTAGCCAATGAAAAGGGTAGCGTTGTACGCCAATTACCATTTTTCTCTTTTATTAGTGTAGATTATCTCTTTATCCTAACTAGGCTGATCTTTATCAGACCTTTTATTGTTTGGCTCTTTTCCTCTGGAAGAACTCCTTTTTGTTATTGAACTTTTGAAATTAGGAGCCTCAATCCTGGCAGTGTTTTAGTTGTTATTTTTCCAGTGCAGGATGGTGAGATATTTATGTCTTTTTAATCTGTTTATGCAGGTAAAGATTGCAATCGCTTTCTCTTAAGCTACCATGTCACCCTTTTAGTTCATATTGAGATTGTATAAAATTTGTTTTATGCTCCCCTATTGTGTATTAATAGTCTCTTGCTCAAATAGTAACATGTCAGAAATGTTTATGTATTTCAATTGTAATTATAGTCTATTAATTTTGAGTTATAACATTTGAAACTGTCTTTATCATTGAGGTATATAATTATTCTTTTCATCCTTTTGCATATTTAAAATATACATGCTGCATATTTTAATATACATGCTGCATATAGCTGCATTTTTAATATACATACTCTATCATGGAAGAAATAAATAATAAAGGTGAAAAGCACAAAGAATAAAGTTTTGTGGCATATTCAGCAAAATTTTAACATTCATGGGTTTGTTTTTTTTTATTATATATTTTATTGATTTTTAACAGAGAGAAAGGGAGAGGGATGGAGAGTTACAAACATCAATGAGAGAGAAACATCGACCAGCCGCCTCCTGCACACCTCCTACTGGGGATGTGCCCACAACCAAGGTACATGCCCTTGACCGGAATCAAACTTGGGACCTTTCAGTCCGCAGGCCGACGCTCTATTCACTGAGCCAAACCGGTTTGGCAGTGGGGTTTTTTAAAAATATTTTTTTTATTGATTTCAGAAAGGAAGGGAGAGGGAGAGAGAGATAAATAAAAGTTAAATGTCATATTTTGTTCCATGAAGACAATGAGATAGGAATAATTTCTTGTATTCTAAGAACTTTCACTTCAAAAATTTTGAATATCAAAACTGCCTTTTTATTTTACACAGGATGATAGCAAGCAGGCACAATTCTTAGCTTTAGCTGTCGTTTACTTCATTTCGGTTCTGATGGTTTCCAAGTACCGTGACATATTAGAACCCCAGCGAGAGACTGCAAGAATTGGAAGTCAACCAGGTAGAAACATCAGGCAGGAAATAAATTCACCAACAAGTACAGGTACTTAATATTTTTATATTATTTAAATGTCATTATAATTTTCCTGCTTTTAATTTCATTTTCACATTCAAACTTAAACTGATTCTATTCATAATCATCTCATACATTTACAAGTTAGTAGTATATAAAGATCAATTTAATATTCTTCTAATTCCTAAAAAATGTATGAATGGTATTTCTATGATATTTGCTATATTCTCATTTGCCAGTGCAGTTTTGGTTTTAATGTTTTATATTTATTAATACCAATCATTTATACTACTATTTTATTTGCAAGTAACTCATATTTTAAATGTATTACTTTTAACTTTTATAAACATGAAATTAAGAGGTTCTTATAGAGTAGTACAAGACCAAGACTAAGCCAAAATATAAATCTTTATAGCCAAGTTCAAAGATAGTCTTCCTTCTTTCCTTCCTTCCTTTCCTCCCTCCCTCCCTTCCTTCCTTCCTTTTTCTTTTGCTGTATAATTATTTTGGTTTCTAAATAGAAATACTCTATATTCTGTATCATCTATATTCAAAATATTCTGTACTTAATATCAGTATTCTATCAGAGATCATAATAGGAAAACATACATTCTAAACTTTATACCAAAGTACCTTCAATTAAAATCAACCATCTTGGCTCATATCTTTCTTACCTACCGATTATACTCATGTTGTAGGAGTTCTTGCATTATCAACTTTGTCTATTCTGCTTGAAAATGATAAATATTTCCTATTTTTTAATATAATGGGGTTTCTTCTATCAATTGCATTACAGGCCATGTTTATATCAAGGTTATTTCTCTGTGTTTTTTTTTTTTTTGCAGTGTAACCTTGGTAACCCAGTGGTTATTTCATGTACCACTGGATTAACTGGTAGTTTAAATTTTATTTTCTAAATAAATGTATATGACATATAAATAAAATGGATATTTTAACAAGTGCATAGAAATTAGTGGTCAAATCTCTGCATCTTGTTTTTGGTAGCATTTCATATCTCATTTACCTTTTATTGCTGTTGTGGAAATATGGATTATGCATAAGTTTTAATACTTAGCTGTTTCATGCTATATTTAATTTAAACTCATAAACATGATATTCATTGTAGTATAGTCTTTTAACTTTGTTCTTCAAATTAAACATTATCTTACCACTGCAGTTTATGTCTTTTGATCTTTTAAAATACTAAGACTTTATTTTCTTAACTCTTTTTAAATGTATTCCTATCAGTCACGTGTATATAAAATAAACAAATATTAGTGAATTACCAACTCACTAAAACCAGTTCTTATTTTTGTGTATGTTTTTATGTGTCTGTTGCTAAAATTACTTAAGTATATTATTTCCTTTCTCTTAATATATAACCACTTTCCTTCCCTCAGGGGTGCAGTCTTTGTTGCCATCAGTGCTTGCATGTTGCAATAATATAAACTTGTCATGTTTTGTCAGTGGACCATGTAGCAGTTGTTACATACTGGCTCAAATTTGATTCCATGATTTTCTTCACAGTTGTGGTCATACCATCTATCCCTCATCCAACTTTGAACCATGGATTCCTTGCCAAGTTAATTCCTGAGCAGAGCTTTGCCCACTCATTTTACAAAGGTAATATTGACCTCATCTTCCAACCTATTTGAGTATTCTTGTTTCATCATATTATGTAATAAATATCCATAATTCTATTGTTATAAACAAGTATATACCTCAGGTTTCATGGGGATATATGTTGTATTTATACCTGGCTAATGAGAGCAAAATATAGCTTTTATATTGATACTAGAGGCCAGGTGCATAAAATTCATGCACGGCTAGGGTCCCTAGGCCTGGCCTATGATCAGGGCCAATCAGGTTCCCCACCTCTTGGCCTCCCCGCCTCCTCCTTCCCTTGCCACTTGTGCTGCCACCACTCAGTTCCCTGCTTCCCTGCCCTCCACCCCTTCCCTCACTCCCTTAGTGCCCTGCCACCACAGCTGGTTGCCCGCCATGTTCCACGCCACCCTGTGGTGGTCAGTGCATGTGATAGCAAGTGATCGAACTTCCGGTCTCCTGGTCGAACTTCCATGGGGACAGTTTGCATATAAGCCTTTTATTATATAGGATTCTGTTACATTTTTAAGTACCATCTGCAAATTAAGGATACCTAATTATATGTAGACTAATATGTACAGTGGTAACATTCATTCAAGAATGTAAGAGTCAGACCTTAGCAGAAGGACTAAGTTAGCCCTAAAATGAAGGCCACTCCATATTCACAAGCAAAAACCTTAAAACAAGCTTTGAAAGCATCAAAGCGATTTAAAGTTATTTAAGTTTCTGTCAGAGCAAAGTTCCAACTCTCTTTAAAGGAATATAAAAAAATTCTTCTACAAGCAATATAAATGTCAATGTTAAACATCTAATAAAAATTATTAAACATACAAAGAAGCAGGAAAATGTAATGAATAAGCAGGAGGAAAAAATTAGTCAATAAGAAGAGATTCAGAAAGGACAGAGATTTCAGAATTATTAGATAAGAACATTTAAACAATTATTATCAAGTAAGTACAAGATGTTTTTCAATCTAAAGGAAAAAGTGGACATAATGAGGATGAAAATGAAGAGTTTTAAAAGAAACCAATTGAAAGTTTTAGTGATGAAACATTAAATAGCCAAAATGATTTCTGGGTAAGATTAACATGAGTATTGTCTCTGCAGAACAAAGGATTGTAGTAGGGTGATTCTGCATCCCCACATCTCATCCCCGTTTTTCCTGTGTACACTCCCTGCATAATTCCTGGTACACTTAAAATGATGGATTTTGCTTCTGTGACTGTTATTTTCTATAGGACAATTGCTTTTAAGAAAAGATGATTATCCAGGTAGCCCTGACCTAAGCACAGGAGTCCTGTAAAGACAGTTCTCTGGCTGGTTGCAGAACAGTGTGAGAAGGATTTGACATTGCTGTGATGGAGATGATCATAGGACAAAGATATAACATCACGAGGCAAGGTCTGAGAGCACAGCCTCGCTAACAGTCAACAAAAAGTGGGGGACTTTACCCTACAACTGCAAGAAACTGAGCTGAGTGAGTTTAGAGAGGACCTGAGCTCCAGATGATACTGTAGTTTAGTGTTCACCATACAGTGGTTAAGGATATGGAAGACCAGTTTATAGAACAAAGGAAGCAATAAAGTACTGTTTGTTACAACTTGATGAATGCATACATATTTTTATAAATATACAACCTTTAAACATCATAACAAAATAAAGGAAAAAACATTTTTTAGCTTTATTTCTTATAAATACATAAAGCTCTGAATTGTGTAAAGTAAGAAGGATTAGATAAAACAAATTAAATGTCCTCTGGAATTTGTGTTGTGTGCAAGCATATTCCAAAGGTTTAGCTGTAGTGACTGGGAAATATTCCAGATTAAGGAGCCTGAATCAGAATATGAATATACTACTTTCTTTATCAAAAACATTTTATTATGAAAACAATTTTGGCTGAACTGCACAGTGGTCTTAGTGGTATAATACAATTTTGAGGACCTTTTAGGTTGATGTGGTAAATTTTCTATTATTCTCTTTAATATGTGCTAATATGGAAGTGGATTATACATATCTGTGATTGCATTCTGTGGTGCCATTGTTATTGAGAGGAAATTTGTTGATGTTGATGATATTGGAACTGTAGAATCAACTCTTAGTGTTTTCACAGGATAAAAAATTAGTTGGATTCTACTCTTTAAAGATTAATAGAATTGGCTTCTTTGTCAAATATGTCCAATATTTTTAATGAATGCAGCACTGCCAAACAAAGAAGGATTCCAACATGTTTTTTTGTTTGTTTTGTTTTTTACTAGCAGCAAGTGTCAGAGAATAAAAATCAAAGTTTGAATATTGTAGAAGTACACAATTTTTATGAGATGTTTCATTATTTATATATATAAAAGCCTACGTGACCGTTAGGGCGGAACGCCCAGTTGCTGTGATGTACACTGACCACCAGGGGGATGACGCTCAATGCAGGAGCTGCCCCCTGGCACAGCCAGAAGCTGGGCTCACCACTGGCAAGTGCAGCTGCCATGGTGAGAGCCCCTCCTGAATCTGTGGCAGCACTATCAGGCGGCAGCAGCAGGTGCAGCGGGCTGGGATGAGCATGAGCGGTGCACCTCCCAGCCCCAATTTCGGCTCTTCCCTGGCCACCTGCCTCTTGGTGCACTGCTACATCTCTCAGGGGATGTCCGACTGCCGGTTTAGGCAGTCGGACATCCCCTGAGCAGACCCGGACTTCAAGATGAATGTCCAACTGCCAGCTTAGGCCCGATCCCGGTGATGTTCTCTGTAGAAGGCAGTCAGTGTGAACATCTCAGTGACTCAGGGAAGCACAGGGAACTCAGGGTGAGCCTGCCACCACGCTTGACTCACCCACTCGATGGTGCTCACAGGACAGACTGTGGTGGCCCAGCCCGAGTATGTGCAGCAGCTGCTGAAGCTCAAGCAGCAGGCCGTGCAGCAGTAGAAGGGCATCCAGCCACAAGCCAGCAGTCGGACATCCCTGAAGGGATTCCGTACTGCGAGAGGATGAAGGCTTGGCTGAGGGACCTCCCCACTCCAGTGCATGAATTTCGTGCACCGGGCCTCTAGTTTAATAATAATTGCCAATGAACTCTCTTAAGCTCTAAGAATAAAATTTATTTTGTTCATCCTTGCAAAGTTGGCTCTTGTCATCTTAAGTATTTGATAGAATGTTTTGTGTTTTCTGTTAAAAGAAGATTAATACATAAGAAATTCATGGAACTGGAACTATTTCTTTCAGTGAAGCAATTTATATGTGATTATAACTCTGCAGGATAAATTACTGTAACTGGGTATTGAACATTAGTGGTATGTTTTGAAGATACAGCACTTCTAGTTTCATTTTGGATAAAAGTTTCAAATAAATATTCTAAGCTGAGTTTTCATTCCATCAACATACCTCTCTGACACTGCTTTCTCCATATTATTAAATAAAAATAGGTTAGCTCTATGTTATTCCCTTGAGTATCATTTTTGCTGGTTCAACTTGGTTTAGATTAAGTTTAACAAGCAAAAAGCTCATGGTCACGTTATAAACTTTAAATATTTATATTCTCAATGTTTGTTCATAGTGTTTACGTCGTCATTTCTTTTGAGGAATCACTTTTTGCTTAAAGCTTTTTGTTTAGCTATGATGTGTAATGAAAAAAGTTACAAGTATAAAAACATTTGTGTATATATACTTTCAGTGAACAACATAGACAGTTTTTACAATTATTATCTCTTTCCCAATGTTGTATTTGTTCAGAGTATATTTATTGAAATGTAGTTTTATGTCTATGGAGTCAAAAAATATTTCTGCTTTTATTTTGTGTACTTTAACATTTTGTTATTTTTCACAGATAGTTTGAGAAGAACTGATCTCGTATACTCTTTAATTCCATACTTCATTTCCTTCTTTTAGCTCATTATTGAGCTTTTTAAAATTTTCTGAACTAGCTCTCTGGCCTCTCTCTCTTCTTTTTAATCTTTGATAGTCTCTCATTTCAAGGTCTTATAACTTCTTTGAGTATTGCCATTTTCTTCATTGGACTTGTCTCTAGTCATTTATCCTATTTACTGATGGAAAATTTAAAAATAGCACCAATTTGTAATCTCAGAGGGAAGATGGGAGTGGGTGGGTGGGAAGAGATTAACCAAATAATTTATATGCATATATGCATAACCCATGGACAAAGACAATAGTGTAGTGAAGGCACAGGGTCGGGGGTGCTGATGTGGGCTAGAAGGGGTCAATGGGGGGAAAAGGGAGATCTATAGTACTTTCAACAATAAAGATAAATTTTAAAAAATTAAAGAAATTTATAAAAAGTAATGTAATGAAATATAATTTCTATTTAATATATGTTCCTATGATAAATATTTTATATATGTAATATAACAAATGTAATAAAATAATTTTGTTTTTCTAAAGCATTCTATAATTTTGGGACAAAGTTAACATGTCTAAACTTACAGTGGCAAGACTACTTTATTTTTAATTTACCTGGATTACTACAGTTGCTTCCAAAATGGTTTTCTCAACTCTTCCTTTAGTGATCACCATTCTACTTTTTTTTTTAGTTTTGCTGCATTTTATTAAAAAATATAAATAAGATTATGTCTTGATTTGACTTAGTTTTCTCTTAATCCTTTAGAGTATGCTATCAGGTGACTCCTGGATAATCTGACTGCTGACTACCTTTCCAAATTTATCTTGTTATTCTTCCATTTGCCCACTTAGTTACAATCAGATTCCTTTTTAATTCTTTAATCATTCCAAGCACTTTCCTGCCTTTTGATCTTTGTATTTTGTTCCTGGTTTATGGCTCTCTTTCCTATTATTTTTTTTTTTTTGTATAATTGCCTTATTTATTCTTCTTCATCAGGTATTGGCTTAAAGGTTACCTCCTCACAGAGGTCTTTCCTGACCACTGTAGCTAATAGCTTCCTCACTGACACTCTATTGTCTATCATAGTATCTTCTTTATTTCTCTTTTTGTAGTTATGCAATTTATTTATTTGTCTAATTAATTATTAAAATGTGTGCTTCAAGAAGGTAGTCTCTT